GGGACTTAAAAAAAGAAAAAAGACCCGCTCTCAGAAAATGCCGTGTAGTTTCGCCAGGAAGTGTTGTACAGCTTTGAGATTAGCATATTCAGATTCATTATCAAAAACTGAATCTATATATTTATTTATATCTACATATATATTTCAAAATTTTTCGTTGATTTTCATTTTCTGATAAAAATTTCAGTAATTCTGGGGCGCGAAAACTCAGAAAAGATTAGAGCGACCGAACAAGATAAAAAAGTACATCATTCGACTCGATTTCTGACGCCGATGGCGAATATGATATTTTCATTGCGTGGACGTTGAGTTCTGGTGGAGAAAATGGCGTATTTCGAGTCAGAATTTCGATCTTTCCCAGTAGAAGCCGAATATCTCGCTCGCGAACGCGCAAAAAAATCGAAAAACTGGACGTACACTTTTCTAGAGCTTGAGATGGCGCATCGAACGGTGTAAAAACTTTGGCTCTAAGATCTCTCCAGAAGGAGTTGAAAGACTTACAAAAACAGTTGATGTATTTTGATCACTTTGGTTTCGGGCTTTGTCATAAAGTGACTTTTCCTTTTGCGGCTTCGGAAGATACATCTATAGATTCAGTTTTTGATGATGAATCTGAATATGCTAATCTCAAAGCTGTACAACACTTCCTGGCGAAACTACACGGCATTTTCTGAGAGCGGGTCTTTTTTCTTTTTTTAAGTCCCCCTGAATATTTCGAGGATATCTCAGCGAGGAAAGGGTTTGGAGAGCCAGGGAAGTGATATTCGTGCTCGTCGTTGGATTCTGTATCGAATAGTGTATTAAACAGACACCTCTACTTTTTACTGTAACCTTGCATGTCGTGCATCTTATATACGCTTTCCTTAGCCTGTTTAAATCTTATCTTTACTGTATGTCTAAATAGACAATTTTTTGTCTTATTGTGAAACTCTTGATTTTCATTAAGAACAAGGGAAATTCAATAGATTATTTTATAGAGAGGCTAGACATGGGCGGGACTGAGATCGGGATTGGAACCAGAAAAGCTTTTTACCGGGACCGACACTTGAACTAAGGCTTCTTTTTCGATTTATGGCACAATAGAAGGCCAGATGGTCTTCTGTTATGGAGGAAGGGGGGAGGGGGGTATACTGAGCTGTTGTAAAAAGCATTCTAACAATTATTTAACAATCCGAATTAGTATGATATTCATAAATGCTTAAAGAATTCTTCAAACATATGAAAGAGATAGAAAAAGTGGTTATAAATCTCGGTTCTGAAACGATTTTACTTGCTCGAGAAATATTTGTTTTTAAAAGGTATACCAAAAATCCAGTGAAGGTTTTTTCTTTTTTTTAAGGTATGAAGAGCAAGTTAGACTTGGAAGAGAAGAATATGAACGAGAATTAGAAATACATTCTCGGGAACAACATCGAATAATTGAAGATAAGCGTTATCAAACGTATTTACATGAAGAGGAAGAATATCAGCGTCAAGTTATATTTGATTTTGAACGTATAATTTATCAAACAACATCAGCATCACCAAGATTTATCGCACAATTTCGTATGAAACAGCATCATATTGTTCAACAAACAATAATTGATGATGAAGAAAAATGTATGATATGTTTGGAAGATTTTAAATTGGAACAAATCTATTCAGTATGGCCATGTTTAAATAAACAAAAAAAAGAACATATTTATCATTATGAGTGTATGCTTAATGCATTAAGGTCAAAAAACACATGTCCGTTATGTCGAGGGTCAGTTGAACCTTCTTCTACAACATCGACACTACGTGATCTATTACTTTTCTAGTGTATTTTTAATTTGATTTTTGATTTTTTATTGTATTCAAAAATAAAGAGACCAAAATGAGTCATTGCTCGGTGAGACAGTATTCTGTTTTATTTTCCTTTTCTTTAGACCAGTGATGATATGTTTTTGAGTTGAACGATCAGTTCTCCGGATAATACGCTTGCACGTATATACCTTGTTAACTACCATCCCGCGTCTTGCTATGCAGTCTTGATGTTTCATGTTCTTTTAGAGTAAAACGAACAAGTGTGAAGCTAGAAAGGACCTCGCCGGATCAGCGTTTTCTCTATAAAAGAGTTATACCTGAAGTATTTTCCAAGATTTTTTATAGCGATTGGTTATAGAGAGTTTGTTCTTTTTTGTTTAAAAGAGGAAGAGAAACTACATCGACTGACCGGTGCCGATTTTTGAATTAGGTCTTAGTTTTTTATCAAATTAAGAATTTTTAGAAAGTCGCAAAGGAGTTTTGGAGGTTGTTGGTTGCCTGGAAAATGAATCAATCGAGAGAAAAAATTCTAAGTTTTTAAAGAAATCACTATCTAATATATAACAGATATGACAGCAAAACAAAATGGTGAATGACTTATTGACAAACGGTCAAAACACACTTGACGCTAAATGTACATTTTTCCGCTATTTATTAGACGGTGTTCTGAAGGTGAGCCTCGTCTGCGCACAGTTAGCTATCAGCTTTTATTCATTCTTAATAGTGAAATAACAGTCAAAACATATTTTGGCTGGCATTTAACAATACATGACTGTATCTTAGGAATGACAGCTTAATTTTTCACTTGTAGTTGGCAAAGATTAGATATACAAAACAAAAAACATTTCTAAAAGAAAATTCATTCATTTTTGCATCTTACATATCGATAGCACAACGACAGCGCAAGACATTTATCTTTCACCTGTAAATATGTCTTGTATGTGGATTTTTTCTTATTCTCTCTAAACTTACACAGAAATAAATGTTGTTTTTACTGAAAAGAACCCGAGTATAATCGTCTACATTGTTTCGCACTTCCTTTTAACATTTATTGCGTTATTTGACTAATATATATTCCTTGAGGTAAAAGCAAGCAATATAAAAAGCTACGTATCTTTCGATCTGTATATTTTAAAAACTCGAATGGCGACAGCAAAAATAGACGAAGCTTATTCTTTTCTAACGGATAGTACAGTGAAAGGTCAAACTTATGCTTGTCATTTGGTTAATCAATATATTGATTAAGGCCATTCGATCTAAAAGGTGATCGAAATATGGTTGTCTTAGAAAATTTCTCTTCTTCCCTGTTAATTATGAAAAAGTTTAATATTGTATAAGATTGTCAGGAATATAGGATTGCTTCAGATAGACACGTAACCAGTATTGGCTTCAGAGAAGATTGAACGATAATATTAGTTAGCCAACCGACTCTTTAAGTATTAGACTTTTGAAAAAGGCTAAGTTCACTGCGTACGAGAGACCTGGAAAACAACTTACGATGAAAAAATTTAGTTGCTTTATTTTAGGCCTTTTGCTAACAAAGTTGGGGCCGGATCCAACGAAATGTCAAAACAAACTGAAATGGGTAAAAAAATTACGGAAACGGAAAAGTTACAAAAGTAGGAAATGAAAGCTATGAAATTAACCTCTTTCAAGCTAAGTAGTTTAAAAGCTAAGTAGTTTTTGGCCTAATGTCCGCTTAGTTGCCCACTGTGCGTAAGACATATGTCTAACCATGAGATACGTTCGCGTCCTTGACTACTTCGTTAATCTATTTCAGTCTGTCATAAACTTGTGTTTCCCTTTATGTATAAGATAAATGTTTTTCTCCAACATCATATTTATCTACTACGAATTCCAGCTTTTGTATACATAGTGTATCACTAGCAAATTGAAAAGAAAGAGAAAACTGATCCTTGTGCGCAGAATATGAACAGGCAAAACAATGGGTATCCAGGTGAGAAGAAACCCAGAAAGTATTCCGTTAATGTCATCATCAATAATTATGACAAATGTTCCTTTTGCCCATTGATTCTGTTTACTTACGATCACAAATCTTGTCTTCTTTTCAGATATGTCAAGCGGAGACCTAGGTCTACGTTACGACATCTGTCTAACCTTGACATGTGCTCCTGTCATTTCTTCCGTAATCTATTTCAGCACACTGAAAACAAAAAAACGTTTGTTACTACGTGTGTTAAATGGCATAAACATTCACTCAGCTCTTCCGTCATGACCACTCGAAGTAGATCTTTCAGATTTGCCGCTAACCATTGATTAACGATGTGTAGAATGATAGTAAATGATCAATTCTACCACGTAGCTCAGACGATGTCCTTGTGTTTGAATTATTCCAAATACTGTTTAGATGATCGTCACATACACGCACCCATTCACTTATATGTGTAAGATCGGTCAGTGGAGAAGTCATCGACAATGCTCGAACAAATTTCGAGTCAATAGGCAAAAGAATATTTGTCATAACTACTGATGATGATAATAAATAAACTGAAAATAATGGTGCAAATCTTGTTTCTCTCAGCTTTATTTATACATCGACTCACGAACA